ATATGATTTTTTTCTGTGTTGGTGTTGTGTACTCAGGTGGATATGATATTTGTGATGTTACCCTGAGTGTGCATCCACACCGGGCAGGCTTGAAAAATATGCCCGGCCACGGTGGGATTCGAACCTACGACTTTTGGAATACTAGCCCAATGCTCTTCCAACTGAGCTACGCGGTCAGGACGGTTCGAGTAAGTGATATTTCGGAACAGAATCTAGTTCCTTCGATACCAATGTGTTAACATTGAGAAGTATCCAATTTTGTCATGCTAATAATAAACAAATAAACTCGCCCCGACGGCTCGTCCAATTTTGGCAAAATTTCCAAACATCACCAGTACTATTAATCCCTAATTGTACGAGCAACATCGCATGATTACCTATACTTATTTTCGGTTCTATAGTAATTTTTCAATTAATGTTTTTTGAAGAAAGGACTTAACTTCAAATAAAAGACTGCGGTATACCAAAGCTATTTCACGTTGGAGCCACATGCATAACCTAATGAGATTATCATAATCAAGCACAGATTCCTAACGTCATTACCGCATCATTTCCAGCCTACAGTTGGAAATAACTTTCCAGGATATGGGCACAGAATACTACGTACACAGAAGGCCATCTCCATTGTTTTTAGCGTAAGCTCTATTCGTCATGATTCGTCACTCAGCAAGTACCGTAAGCAGAAGCAGTCACCCCCCTGGACATACGCCATTTTTAGTATTTCCAGGAGGGGGACTGCTTCTGTTTACGGTACTTGCTGAGTGACGAATCATGACGAATAGAGCTTACGCTAAAAACAATGGAGATGGACTTCTGTGTAGTATTCTGTGATATGGGTATGCAATCTGAAAACATATTGAGAGATTAGCCCCCCCAAAGCGATATGAAATTTTTAATAAGGGGGCTCACAGCCTTCCTGAGCTTCTAACCAGTAACTCACTGACAGGCTTCTACACATAGATATCTTATAATTATATACACTAGATATTGCATGGCGGCGCGAAGATAGGCCTTTTATCTTCGAGTGGTGAAAACAATATTGTTTTAACACGAGAAGGTATTAAAAAGTCGTATCTTCAAGCCACTGTGACGTATAATGTTCTGCGGTTTATTATATAGTCCCAAGCAAAAAAATGTATAAATACTGAAAGTCACGTGATCGATATATCTTAAATAGTGAAGATATGGAAAATATCTCACTGTGTATTTTTCAGTATCTTACTCTCTACTACTGTATATAATAAAACTCATTATTATATATTAAACATAAGTGTCATATAGAGTTTTTGGCCACTGAGAAAAATCGTATTTATAAACACACGTAAAAAATACGATATTTTTACGTGTGAAAATATCATTTTTGCAAGCCAATCAAAAGCGCGCAGGAAATATGTTTGACCAATCAGAGAACTTGTTGTAAACGCATTGCCACGGATGTTTTATTGTTTTTCAATTACCGCTTTTTTGTAGAAATTATCACTTTTCAAAGACTGTCCTTTATATAATAAACAGAAAAATGCTTGGAAATACCAGATTTATTTCTCGTGTTGAACATGACATCTCACTCGTTCGCACAATCGAAATTAATCTGGTATTTCCGCGCACCCATGTATTATTCTCTATTTATCCTGAGTTTTTCGCCAACTTTTTCCACTGATCTCTGTTCCCAACTGAAACGACGAGGGACGAGACAGTTATTTATCTATGTTAGTCAACGTTTATTCATAAATCTGGTCCTTCACGTACACATTGTATTTTTGCCCAACTAACCAATAGCAATGTTTTAGGAAAGTTGCCTACATCCGTGATTCGAACAATAGGGTAAATTGGAAATTGCTATTGGTGGATTTGGCAAAAATACAATACACACGTGACAGTGAAGGACCAGATTTATGAATAAACGTCGACTAACATAGATAATGAGTTATATTGTTATTCTAATGATTTCACAGCCATCTTCCCTTCGATAGGCTATGGTCTGAGGACCCCTATAACATTGGTTCTGCTATAGACCAATCTTATTATAATCTTATAGTGTCAAAATTCATCTCTTGGTCTCAACTTTTGGGAAGAGGTTATTTCGCTGGCCTCAGAATGACAAAACGTAACAAAGTAACGATTTTACTAACACTAACACTAGCTCTATTTCAAACACCAACTCTAACCCAATCCTAACCCTAACCTAACCCTACCTCAAGTTTGTTTCTAAACCAATCTTGAAGAAAATTTTTTTGACGAAATGTCTTTCTGGGGTCAGCGAAATAACTTTTTCCCAACTTTGATGTCTGCTAATAATTAGCTGTGTAAAAATCTGGAACATCGAGACACACACGCTGCACAGAGAACAACGGCAATCTGTATTTTTTTACAGAATTTTAATGTTCTTTTAAATCAATGTATGATATATGATACGAATAACGATAAGAGCGCTTAATGTTAAGAGACCCCGAGATTTAGTCGGATTTATGAAATGCCGAAAAATTGCAGTGTATGTCAGGAATCCTGAATGCGGAAAAAAATGTGTCGAATAGCCACCTGAATCAACGATAAGAAAAGACCAACGGAATGATGTGTCAACTTGCTTAGAGATAAATATCGATTTCGTTATCTTAAATTAATATAATTGAAAAGAAATGTCACCAATTTCATCAATAGATGCCACCCACCATCAGCAATTCACGTCGCATTCCAGTTGGACAAAACAATTAACAAAATAACAACAAAATTTCGTGGGTTACGACCGGTCATTAGCGAGCTTAAGCATGTAGGAGGGCAACACGACGACGACGGCAACCAATACAATGAGTCAATGAAAAGAAATAAATAATTAAAGTCCCAGGGGAGTTTCAGACGTAGCCATCGCTCTATTTACAACGGCAAATCACAGATTTTCACGTATTTTATACAACGCCTGCATTTCAAGCCGTAACAAGTGCAACTTAAAATTAATTCGGTTCAGTAGAACTCTTCTCAAACATAAAGCCAATGTTTTCAGCTTCTTATACTGTATTAAATTCATACGAATTATAATATACGACAAGTTTTCTTTACTATCATTTATTTGAAGGAATTTGTTTTGGCCGTCGTCGTCGTGTTGCCGTCCTATATGCTTAAGGCTATTATTTATGGCGGGGGGTGGCACTGAAGAGAAAAGGGTTGGGTAAACACATTTTGAGTGCGTAAAAGGTTGGGTAAATGAAAAACAAAACAACTCAAGGGTTGGGTAATAACATAGGCGTACCGGGCGGGGGGGGGGGCGGTAGCCCCCCAGTTTTTTGGGCAGTCGGGCAATATTGGATCAACAGTCGGGCAATTTTGGTTTGTAATAAAAATAAATGGGACAAATTCTGTCAATTTTGTGGGAAATTAAGTCAATTTTTTGGTGAATTTTGTGTTTTTGGAAAATTTTGGGGATGTTTCGAAAAATTTTGGTATGTCCGGAAAAAATTTTTGACCCCTAAAATGGTACACTGACCAAAATTTTTTTGGCGACGGGGGGGGGGGAATTTTTGGGTACTAGTCGGGGCAAAATCCCGAAAAGTCGGACAAATTTGTTTCCGCCCCCCTAACTTTTTCCTTCCGGTACGCCCATGGGTAATAAAGGTTTATTGTCATTTCCAAAGCATGACTCTCTCAAATATTGAAGACTAAAGATCGTGAGTCAATCAAAAAGTCAAACCCATGTCACAGAAGTGGTAAAGTACATGTGCAGACAATATGAAACTTTAGACTGCAGAAAATTTCAAAAGCCGTTATCAAACTCATGTCACAGAAGTGGCAAAGGACATGTGTGACAACTGACACGGTATCCTTTTGTAACGCTTTCGACCAGGGGTGGGTATTTATTTTTAATTTTTTAATTGATATTTTATATCTCTTTTTGTTGTTAA